GGTGCCTGCCTCATTCTAGCCAATGATACGACTGGCTCTGTTCACCCTAAAGTAAGTATTGTGTATTTTGGCAGCTTTGCTGCAACCTCATACACACTTGCTTAGATGTAACTGTCAGTGTGTGAACATATCCAGGTGTGAAAGAGGATAGTGAGCCGTCCTCAACCATAGGAACACCCAAAGGGAAAAAGGGAATGAAAGAGGAAGGTGACTAAGCAAAAAGATGCATTGGTAGAGGAAAGAGGCAGATGATGAAAGAGCGAAAATAGAAGTTTGCCTAGTGGAAGGAGGAGGAAAAGGAGGAGGAGCTAAAAGTATCAGTGTGTGAAGAAAGTATAAAGGAGGAGGGGGAACAGTGGTTTGGCAGCAGGATAGACTAAAGTAGGATGGTGATGAAAGAGGAAAAGAAAGATGGGAGAGGAGTAGACTCCACTTACAAAAAAGTGTGCGGACTTTTGAAAGATTTCCACAAACTAAAGGTTGGTGGATTGTTACCAGATCCAGAAGTGAGGAAGGAGGGAGAAACAGTGTATGAGACTTTGGAATGGACAGTGATTGTTTTCCCGCGGGGATGAGGGCGTGGAAGGAAAGTGATCTGGCCAGATCAAACCTACAACCAACCCCGAAAGAAGGGGACTGGGCTTAACATCCATGCTGCGGCACAATATGCACAGTGAGGAGCCCTCCTCTGTGGAATCCTACGGATCGGGAGCAATTTGGCTCAGCCCCCCCAGTGAAGTTACTCCAATCTACAAGAAAAGTTTTGAATGAACCCAATCACACCAGGGCTAAACTGCTTTGAGCGGCAATTATCTTATATGAATAAAATACTCTGCTCAAGGCCCTTAAGAGTCAAAATCTTAGAAGTAAACAAGATAGGAAACAAATTAACTTGTGAAACTCAAGTTTAATTTTATTTTTGAAGTGTAAATGTCCAATTACAAATAAATAAATCATACAATATAACTCAGTTATGATAGACACATTTTCAGGCAGTTCAGAATAACAACCAAGATTAATGAATTTACATTAAATAACCAATTACTATAACAAACAACTGGCCATCCAGTTACATTTTCAGCATGGTCTAAATATGTGTACAGCCTCTTTCAAAGTTCCCTCCTTTGCCATGTAGAAGACAACAGATCCAAACAATTTTCTCACAAGCCTAGAAGAACACATACATCACACTTACTTAAACATAGTCAAGTGAGTGAAGTGGAAGTCTAAAGCAGGAAGAAAAAACCAAGCTTGTGCATTTTTGCAGCAAACAGTTATTTTCTAAAGGTTTCTATTATATTAAATTTGCTGTATGAATTCTCAAGCTTTGTAAGATGGAACCTTTGAATTCCAACTCCAAACATTTTTCTTATCTTTATTAAAAAGTGGAAGCCCATAGTAAATTTATAGACTTCATTTTAATTGCACACTGCTTTTAGCTTTAACTTCAGCAAAGTATTTTACTGCTAAAAAGACAGCTTTCCCTTGAGGTAAATAGATGTATTATCTGTAAACTGCAATAGCAACAGCATCAGGAAGATCACTGAACAGTGTTTCCTGACATAAAAGGTACAATCACTGCTGCATTACGCTTTTGATGGAATTTGCATGGAGCTAACAAGTCTTGGTGAAAGGAATGAAAGTTGAATGGAAACAACAGCAACAATTTGTTTCAAATCCATTTACACACACAACAGATGTTTCTCCTTGCTGCAAATTTTACACAATATCTAGGGCCAAATAAGTTTAGATTTAAGCCCTGAAACGTTCGACAGATTTTAGTTCACTTTTACTTCCTCAGTCTTACTAGGTTAAGAGAACCAAAATGCTTTTCGACAAATCCGATCTCATGGGACAATTGCATTGTTGTGGTGATGGATTTTATGGGAAGACAAGAAAAACCTACAATGACCTTCATTTAGTTATTATTTGCCACTCATGGCAGCAACATGGAATTGCAATATGGTGAAGTACAGCCCCCACAGCAAGAGGGGGACAGAAATGTGGCCTTCAACACCTTCAATGCTACAATTAGTCATTCAGAACTACTTCTTTCCATTGGGAACGGTGAGTTAGCTCAGATGTTAAGCACTCACCACATAGACTTGAGGAGCTGTGTGTAACTATCTCCTGGTTTTCTGAAAAACTGAGAAAGATAACTGCAAGATATGGTGGTCTTAAGCAAAGGAACGTAAGGGGAACGATCTACTAAATCTTTGCTCCTCCAGCTATTTTCCCAGAAAAGCAGAGGTCTACAAAGGGGAGCCCTCCAGAAGTTGATGCACTGCTAGCATTCCTTGCTGTTGGCTATGCTGGGCAGGTTGGCAGGAATCTTAGTCCAACATCTGGACACTTTGCCCACTTCCACAGGAGGTTTGCCCTGCTACTTTACAAAAGTCTTTTCTATCCAGAGATAAGAAAACTAGGAACTCTAAGCAGAAAAGGACTGGAGAGGGAAATAGTAGAATGGACTTTCCCTCTATCTGCTCATAACAGAAGCATCCCACAGCTGCTTTTTATTAATAAAACTCAAAGACCGTTACATACATCTGACAAGTAAGGCCTCCTGCAGCTTTCAGTCGGTATTAATCTTCAATTTACAAGATCCTCTTTTATTAGCAAGCCTTTAAGGTTTAGAAGTTACAAAAAATGCATTTCCAAATCTGGCTGCTTTTTAAAATTCCTACTTTAACACTCTCTTCTACCTTCCTGTCTCCCTGTAGAGCAGCCAGCAAAGCATACAGCTAGAGGCATGAGAGAATGCTCACAGTTCAAAGAAAAAGAGAAAAAAGTGCAAGCAACTACTGCATCTTAATTTGGTGGACTGCTTATGGCCCATAGTCTTTTCACTTTGGTTCTCCGCCTTAATACCTGAATCTAAAAAGCATGAGGAACCAACAAGCATGAACACCAGTCAATGGAAATCATGAGACAGACCACAAAACAAGGTTAGGCCCTTTGGTTCATTTACAATGAATGGAGACATTTATTCTGTACAGTTTTCCTTCTGCAGAGCATGGACAACGATGTTCAAAATGCTGCCCTACTGGGAGAACACTCAAAGTTGTAGTGCTAGTATCAATTAAAAACCTCCCACAGTATTAGTGACAGGGACATAAACCATAGAAACAGTAAATAACTAAAAAGAGATTCTGGTTATAAATGGTATTACAAATTGTATCTGCCAAATTATTAAAGAACTGTATACATTAGCACTTTAAAGAAACTCTGTTTCCATGACATTCAGCCACTGAAGAAGCAAACATTGCTTCTAAAGTAAATTCTCTCTCCTGAACTGACATAAATGCATTGGCCACTATCCTACTGGACTTTCAAAGAGCAGAAAATCCCACCAGTGCAACAATGCGGAATTATTTGTCACTGTTGCATCAACGCTGCCAGCAGCAAGTAGAGGGTGGGTTTTCTTCATAGAGATCTTTGTTTCTGCAATGTCAGCCCTCGCACAAGTGGCACAATCCCACATATCACAGACTTTCTGATCAGTAGAATCCATTAAGATACTGGCTGTAGGTTTTTTTATTATTATTATATCCATAGGGAATTTAAAAAAACGACAAACCCTTTTGAATTTTGATGTGACTATGGAATCTCACACCTTTTCAGTTTTTGGTAACTCAAGCAACCAAATTTATTCATCAGTTTAAGCAGATAACATTCTCAAGATAGGAAATCAAATGCACAGCCTAATTTTATGGGTGAAATTCCAGAAGAATACAAAAAATATTTCAGGGCATCAACTAGATTTATGAATGATAAATAGCATACTTGACACTTTGAAACACAATTCATATTAGGAAAAAAGCAGAGACAGCTTAAGGATTGGGGAAAGGAAATTATTCCTCCTTGAGTTTGAGGGAGTGACACCCCTGCCCATTCACAAACTGTTGAAGGGAGAAAGAACCACTCTAAATACATTTCAAACATTTTTCTAATTAAGATAAAATGGTAAATTTGATTCTCATCAGACAGAAGCAAGCAAGGGCCTAATCCTCCATAGAAACCAATGAGTTTCAAAATGATTATAGTTGGCTGTAGAGTGTTCAAGTGTTTTTATATATCTAAGGCTCTACTGCCAAAATATGGAGCCAGACTGCAGTTTTTGTAATTTTTACTAGCAAGTACAGTCTTTCAAGTTAAAGCCGTTTTCCCATTAGCAAAAACTAATGTTTACCAATGCATTTTTTTCATACTCTTGGGCTGACCACAACAATATATTTTTAATATTATATTATTATTTGGTGAGTAAAGGAATTTGTACATTTTTCCAAATTCAGATTTTACACAATACTTTTGACACATCATCATGATTTGGAATTCAATGAAGTTCAGATGGACATACAAAGTTGTGGCTTCGTCTCTTGGACGTCAGACAGAAAAGTCAGGTATGCTCATCACTCATCAGCTGTTAGTTTGTTTCAGCTTTCACAGAGACCAGAACATACATACGTACAATCTTCTGGGACCACTTGGACCCAAAAGATTCACAGTTGTTTTTAATAGCCTATACAATGGAATTCAGAAAGAAACATCCAACCAAAAATGACTCCAGTCAGAATGTTTTTATGAAAATTGATGGGTTTTATAGAGTAACTGTGCTCATAAAAAGGATTCCAACAATCGGTTACTTCACTTCCATAAGCATCCATGACAATGAGGCAGACAAAGCATACAAATGGACATCAGCACACTGAAAATGTTCTTCAAGTGCACAAGCCACCACTCCTTGTCTCTCAAGGAGGCACAGACTCATTTTGGCAAGGCTCACACAGCAAAAGCTCACAATAGTCTATATTCAAAACTTTGGGGCTTAAGCTAGGCTTGAACTGGATTGTAAATGGTGATTCACACACGCACACACTCACACACAGTACAAAGAAAGGAAGCCTGAATGGTAATGCAAATAAAATAAACAAAAAAGTTCCATTTTGGAAAAGGACACTGCCAGTCAGAATGCAATTCATTTAAAACTGAGTTTTCACTAGTTTTAACAATTTAATTTCTTTACAAAATGGCCGCAATACAGTTTGAAGAGTGAACTACCTCCATTAGACAGATTATTCACAGGTGTAACATCTGCTGTGTTAGAGCATACTTTGTATGAATAAAGCATCAGTGCAGCTTGTTTTCCAGGTATGCTCATCTATATACAGTGCTTTGCCATGACGAATTTTTCCTTATTTCAGATAAAAATAAAATTTATATGTAGGAGGAAACTGTCAGGCACATACTTCAGCTGTTATTTCACAAGTCAGAATGTCAGACTATTTCTCTTGCAATTTTATACAAAACAATTGCACAGCAACAAATAATCTGGTTTTCTGGCCAACAATGATTTTTCACCTAGAAGTCATTTCGTTTGTACATAATTTCACATTGATACCTTTTTAATATTTAAATACATATGTAAAAAAGCCCCCCTCCCACTAATCATTTCTTTCACAGCCAGGTTCTCCCACTATATAATCAAATTTTGAAAAGTTACAAACAGAACATTATACAGGATTTATAAATCAGGTTTAAAAACTTGAGGCTTCAAAATCATCTTAGCCCAAAAGGATTCTGAGGAGTATACACACACTGACAACGTAGCAGAGGAAACTGAGGGGGGGGGAGACAGACACAGGTTTGCTGTCTTAACATTTTACTAATCCTGCCAGTTAAAGATGTTGATAGTATCAGAAGTAAACAGCATAATCTGAAAGTGTGTAAAGATGTTTTTATGTTGGTCCCAAGGGATGAGACGTGTGATTCAAGTATTTCCTATTTGATCTGAGCTCACCTTAGCAAAGTGGTGCAAAAAAAGAAGAAGAAACTGGGGAGAAAGAGGAATTATTTTACTTTTGTTCCATACATTCGATTAATATCTTCCTGGTAGTATGCGGTAAGCTCTTTACGTTTTAGTTTGAAGGCATCTGTCACCAAGCCCATTTCTGGGGTCCAAGGTTCAGGGCTCAACCGAATTTTGAGTGGGACTTCAAATTTCTCCAGATTAGCTAGAACAAGAGAAAGAGACAATGTCAGGAGATAAATTATACTTAAAGAAGAATTCTGTAAAGCTGGGACTGGTAAAAGACAGCTTCTCTACAAGCAGTCTCTTTAAAATATTGATAGATGGGCATATTGGTGGATTGTGGTCATAAGCAGAGCTTGGAAACGTTTTGGACTATAACTCCCATAATATCCCAGCTAACATGGTTAATAGCCACGTTGGCTGAGGCAATCTGAGAGTCAAAGTCCCAAAGTAACATTTCCAAGCTCTAACTGTGATGGTTTTTTGGACCATCCAGTTTCAAAGGCAATATGTCTATGAATACCAATTACTGGAAAGTAACAGCAGGGGGAGGCTGTTTCTTTGTCTGCTTCCCGGAAGCATCTGGTTGGCTAGTGTGGGAAACAGGATGCTAGAAAAGATGGACCTTTGGACAGATGCAACAGGCCACTTCTTATGCTCCTAGGATTTGTTTTAAAAATTCCCCAACCCTTGGGGTAAAGAAAACAAATCTAGAATCTTAAGAAGATCCTTTATATTGTTTAATTATTTTGTTAATCCATAGTACCTCTGCATTTTTTACTATTTATTTTCACAAAGGCAACACAATTTTTTTTAAAAAAGCGGTAATTTGTTCTTTCCTTACCTGTCATAGCAGCCTCAGCTAAAATCTTTTGTACTTCTTTTTCCATTTCCGCGCTATTGCATATCTCTTCCAAGTTTCCTTTAAATCCTTTCTTTCGTGCTAACTCTTTAAGTTCTTTATGGTTTGGCACAAGAAATCCAATCACGTAAGAGTGAAAACTTGAGGTGGTGGTGGGAAAGTAAACATACATTCAATTTAATAGGAATTTGCACTCTGTTTTATGCAATTTGACTACAATATCTTTCATCACATTGTTCTCCTAAACCTTTCCCTATAAATAAATGCCACAAACATTAATTTTGCTGCAGTGAGACTAATGAAGATAGCAAGTTTATACTTCCTATAGGCTCTGCCAGACCATTTGTAACACCTTGTTATATACAATATTCATTCAGCATCCACACAGCTACCATTCAGGAATGCATCAGATACATTACTATCCCAGCTTTATGCCCCTGAATTGCACTGTGAAAGATTGTAGAAAATTTGGTGCTATGAGAGTAAGTCTTTGAGGCGCCTGGCAAAAGAAGAAAGGGATACCCCTCCTTGCTCAAAGGAAGAAAAAACTTTCCACCTTGCTGATGGGATGAACTTTTGTTTGTTTGTTTGAAGGAAGGCTACAGCAGATATGAAACAGTGCAGATTTGCAAACTGAGAGTTAGCTTGAAGAGTTAACTGCTTCTTCCACAATAACCACAAGATTAAACAAACAAACAGAAATCCTAGCCAGACTGCAGCATGACCTCTTCCCTCAGGCAAGAAGCTATTCCCTGCTCCTTTGATTTCCTCAAGGCTCTTCCTCCTTTGTAAGAAGGTTTGGAAAGGTGATGGATAAACCAGGGGCTTCAAGCTACTTCAATTATTCTTGTCTGGTAAGATAGTTGTGGGAAAGCTTCTGACTGCAAAGAGTCAGCTTCACATGAGAGCAGTTGTAATGGATAACCAGGCTCAAAGAGGAGGGGTTTTATAGTGAATTCAATGACTGGGTTCAGGAAAGGCAAAAACAAACACCAGCAACCCCATAAATGAGAAAGTATTTATAGTTTTGGACTAGAGATGGGCATGAACCTCGGTTCAGAAGTTCGAGCTGGTTCATGAGCATGGGACCACAGGTGCTGCGCATTCCCTTCCCCCACCTTCCCCAATTGGATCCCCTACTCACCAGCTGGTGTATGTTCCTCTCCTCCTTCTCTTCGGTTTTTCCGCCAGTCCCCGGCAGGAGCATAAGGTCCCCTACCCCACCTCCTTAGCTGATCACTCACTCAGACAAGGAGCCGGGACAGGCAACCCTGTGCTCCTGCCAGGGACTTGCTAAACAGCCAAAGAGAAGGAGGAGAGGAGCGTGCAGTGGCTGGTGAGTGGGGCATTGGTGGGGGAAGGGAACACGTGGCACCCATTGTTCCAAGCTTACGAACCAGCATGAACCTCTGAATCGAAGTTTGTGCCCATCTCTATTCTGGAACATACTTTAGAACCATCTTAAAATGGCAGCACTGGTTTAACATTTAGTAATGTGTGGCAGTCAATGTTCCCTCTAAAGTGTGTGCGTACACACAGAGTTCTATCAGCACTGTGCAGCACAGCCAGTGTTGATGCCCATTTACTTCTGGGTTTCAGATGAAACTCCACCCCCACGCGCACATGGGGTGAGGCCCCCGTGCAGCAGGATTGAAAATTAGAGGGAACATTGGTGGCAGTCAAAAGAAATGTATTGTCTTGTCAAATCCTACACAGTCAAGATGTTTGACTATCTTTTAGAGACAGTACAGAAAAGTTCCTGGAATATAGTATGTGACTCTAACACAATGCATTACTCTACCCCAGAGAAATAAAAATTATAATGTCCATCTTACCTGCTTGCATATACACAAATATTATCTACCAATGGAAGATTCTTCAGAGCAGCTTCTACTTTGCCCAGAGAAACATATTCTCCCGCTTGAAGTTTTACAAGATCTTTTTTACGATCTACAGAAAGGGGTATTAAAATAAAAGTGAATATTATATGCATTTAATAACTGGAACACTTTAAATAAAAGTACATAGCATTAGACTAACCATAACCCTGTCTCTTATTACCACTTCAGAGCACCTGTGATTTAATCACCTAGACTTCATGTAGATAGATGAATTAAATCAATTTTGTGGGGTTTTTTAAAGTTTGTTTAGTAATTTCACATTGTCCTGCAAGTTCCTGTGTTACAAATTCTATACAGTGTCAACATAACATTCATGAGCATTTATACGTTTACCAGAAACAGAGCAGGATCTAATAATGTAATTCCATTTGATTCTGCTTCTTCTACTAGAATTGACAAAAACATATATGTGTGTGTGTTTATTTAAGAATCCGTCCCAATGAATCCAAATTAAAATTTCATTTCAGTGTTCTCTCTATTTTGCCCTGTATCATAAAAGTTTAAATGAACTATGCTCTATTAGCATGCATATGATAATACTGGTCACTATCAGTGAGTGGTCATGTCAAATAAAACATCTTAGCGTATAAGGTGCAAGAAGGTGCACTGGATACCCAGCTTTTAAAACTCTTATACAGATATGACTTATGCTGCTAGTTCCTCTGCTTTGGAAATGCACATTATGAAGTTGTTCTTCTAGGAGTGTGTGTAGGTGAATGAACTCAGTTAACCCTGGATCAAACAATATGCACAGCTAATCTGTTGAGACCACAGAACTCCTTCGTATCTACAGCTCATGGGGTAGAGGGAGCCTGCAAAGCTAAGGAAAGGAAGTGGGGAACAACTCCCCACCAGGAAGGAGAAAAGGCAGACTTCATTCCTTTCCTCTCTCTTCTTGTCTTCTCCTTCCTTTGCTTTTCAGCCTCTTGCCTCCCTCCCATTTTCCCTCTTTCAAAATAATTCATTCATTCATTCATTCATTCATTCATTCATTCATTCATTCATTCATTCATTCATTCATTCATTCATTCATTCATTCATTGGTCTTCATTTATTTATGGGTCTTCATTTATTTTCCCCCCTTCTCTGCTTTGCTTCTTCACCTCCTCTTACAATATTCCAGAAGAGTAGCTAGAATCCTTACCCCCACACACACACGCACACACCACCATTGTCAAGCACCTCACTGCAATTATTAAACTGAGTTTTTCATAGGTTTTCAAGATCTATTTCAGACTGAGCCTGGCCATTTAAGATCAAAAAGACCCAAAGCCCAAATCTCTCTTGCTGTCTTCTTTCAGCCAATGAGATACTGGCAGAGATCAGGGCAAAGAAATACTTAAGAAGCCACTGTCCTTACTGATAAACTTCAACTGAGCATGCTCAAAAGAGTTATAATTTTTCCCCAATATTTCATCAGCTAAAAGATGGGTTTACTCCAAACAAAGAAAAGTTGGTAGGATAAATTTCATTTAAAATAAGAAAAATGGGTGCCTTAAAATTTATTTGAGGAATTCAAAACCTGATTTGAAAGTTAAAATGTTTTGTTTGTGCTGCCACCCTCTCTTTTAGCATTGCTTTATAGAATACCATTTAACCCAGCTGCGCAAATTTGGCTAGAAACCTGCCTGGCCATAACAACAGAAGAATCTTATAGACTGGAATGAACGGATATTATGTCAGTGAAATATCTGAGTGAAATGTACTATGATTAACTCACCAATAATTTTTAAAGACCCATCTGCTTGGAATTCTCCAATGTCTCCAGTAAACAGCCACCTCTGTCCATTCTCATCCACCATGAAATCTGTCCGAGTTCGCTCTTCATTTTTGTAGTAGCCCATTGTTATGTTTTGGCCTCCGATAACAATCTCACCTCTAGGATATGGTTTATCTGTGTTAAAATAGCCACCTGTAACAAACATTTTAGTAAACTGAGAATGTCATCCTGAATTTTTCAAATACAGAACAATTAAATGCAAAACATATTGACTAAAAACTTATCAAGTAATCCAACTGACATACAACAACAAATACCTATAGTAACTTTGTGTGCCACTTCACGGATTGCTGCCTAGTCGTGGCAAAGGGGCTTGAGTAATTCAGAGAAGCTATGTCCTATGCCATGCAGGGACACCCAAGATGGACAGGTCATACTGGAGAGTTCGGACTAAATGCGATCCACCTGGAGCAAGAACGGGCAAGCCACTCCAGTATCTTTGCCAAGAAA